GGGCCTTTTTCAAATATTCGATTCCGGCCGAAAAGTCCCCGACAGAAAATTTCCCCCCCCCCCCCCCCCCCCACCCCACCCCTCGACCAGGAAGTGGCATCATGATACCAATTCAGATTATTACTCAAGTGACAATAACCTATTTAGCACACCCCATATTTCCCTCTTTCGCAATTTTTACAAATTTGGGCTTATAGCATGTTGCAGTTTTTGCCTACATCAATGATACTAAAATGGACAATAATTCATGACAGACTTACGAGCATGAAATTAGTTATTGTAGTGATTGATTCAATTGTATATACATAAACATTAGCCCCCACAAACAAAAAATATCTTAAAATTCCACCCTTGACATTTATTACCATAGACTTAATTTCATTAAAAACCTCCAGAATAACAAGTAGGTCTACTAATATATACCTATTACAATTGAAATTGGTTACATTTTAATGTTACTAATGTTCAACCTAATTTGTACCTATCATAGTCTGTAGATAAGCCTATTTTTATCTTATACAGTCTAGGTTAGAAAGTGAACTAGAATAAGAGTTTATAATGCACTATTATCATAAATACTTAATCTAATATAACTCAACCTTTACCTTACATGACATAATATTATTTATAACTTTTTAAATAAATATAATATTGAATTTTAAGAGTAATACTGCTCTATTTATTAAAGGAATACTACGTCTTAGGATGACTGTGAATATATAATTAGAATTGCCAAAATGTGTCTATATTCATCATTGGTGACATAATCCCTCTTTAATCCAATATATCGTTTTTCAATAATTACAGAGTTACTAGTTACTACTATTGACCAAGTTTGAGACTTTAACTTTTGTGTCGATTCAAAGAGGTAGTATTCCTTTATAGAAAGTTTGCTGACGAGGTAAAGTTAGAGATATTCAACATACTTCTTTACTACTTCAGTATTTCTTCACTCGCGGAATCTTTTTAGTGGTATTTGTTTGTGAGAAAAATAACTACAAGAGCAATAGAGGGAAGTAGGGAATTCCGCTCTAAATTTTATATAAATGACATAAAACCGAACACGTGTGGCAATACAAATAAAACAGTATTTTATTCTGAATTTATACATTTGTTTGACATTATCAAACTAAATATAATTGAAAACATTTGTTAAACATGTTTTTAAAATAGTCTGATATTGAATAAAACATATTTAAATCAGACTACACAAAGAGTGCCAACTACTGTGACTAGGGAAAAGAATTCGGACTGGAAAGGTTTGACAGAGGACGTTCCTGATATTATATATCACAATAAAGTTAAACAAACTGAAAGCCTTTTTCTATTAAATACTTGTCATAGGGCTCAAACAAAGATGAGCTAGTTATGAAGAAACAAGATAAATATTTAAGACCTATGCACCCAATGAACAAGTTACAACGGAACGTTTCAAACACTCAACGAAATGAATTTATTTTTCTGAACTTAATTTGGGTATTGAAGAACTGCAGAACTGCACGTGTAGCATATTAGTTTTGATTTTTATCTTTCAAAGAACCCAACGTCCACATCTAGTGGTACACGGTACACAATCAATTGTTTTTATATTGGTAGCAGAACAGATGGTTTCAGATAGTGTGTGAATTTACTGCCTCAATCTCAGTATTAAATCCTTATGATCTTATTAAAATATTACAATAAATATTAATTAATATGCAATGACATTTGTTATCTTTAGTTTCTAAAATACTGAAGGCCAACGTGTTTTCTATTTCTTCTCTGGTGTCCATCGTCATTTCATATTTAAGTTATTGAACCACTTACATATATCTTAAAAAGGCTTTATAGGAGTCCTCTTTTAACTTAAGCTGGATGGACCACACATATTATACTTAGATTTTTTTATATTTCATGCTAATTAATATAAATAAATAGTATTTTTGTACAATCAACACAATATTATATATTTACAAAGGGAGATTGAAAGGATTATTCCAAATTCCTATGCAGTAAAAGGCTCTCAAATGTAGCTTGAGATTTCGTTTTTTGTTTCTAAATAAATTTGTTTATTTCCACAAAAATAGGTAAAGTGGTAGGTAGAACCTTTCAAATGATAAAATAAGTCGCATATTTTAGCAGTATATCCATTTCGGTGACAACAAAAACATCAATGTCGACCATTTTTTTAAAAATATAATAACACCTAAAATTGTGCATTTTGGCGGAATAATATGCTAACCCCTTTATGATAACCGTATACAAAATGCATAACAAAAATGCAGCAAAGCATTCCTAGGAACAGATAATATCGCAGTCACAGTTGTAATCTCTATAGAGGATTATAAAATAACTAAGAAATAAGTTGAAAAATGAAAAGATACGATGTTTTGTGTATGAGGTAACTTAGACTAATACAATAGAACTAAGAAAATATTATCTTGTAAATCAATATGTTGTCTGGTTGTATTTTTAAAGACACAGATAAGATTTCGACACTTAATATAAGTTAAGACATATACAATATTAATTGAAATATTACTAATAGCCTATAGGTGGATGTTACGAAAACCCCCACTTAAGTTCGTGTATCTTAGCCAGCGCATTGAATCTCGTAGCAAACAAACTTCTTATTTGTATGAGGGATGAATAAAAAACGCGCGTGACCGGGTCTTTTCCATTAAAGTAACAGTATAATTATCATCACACTTTTGCTATTGATATAAGCTAAAGCATCCACATGGAAATTACCCAATTTAGTGAAAACATGGCAAAGTGCACTTATGTTTGACTTTAAATGTTTTAATAACAGTTGCCTCTGCAATTATTTTTAAACGGCGAAAGACAATTTACGATTTGTGTAGTAACATCTGATATTGCTATATTATACTACTTAATATTTTTATGTACTTCAAGAATGATATCTCACAAGTACGTGTAATAAGGTCTTAATTCGTCCGTCACTACAAAACGTCACAAATCATGATAGACAAATTTCAACTAGGTTGTTCAGCAAGACTACTTTATTGGCATAAACTTTATAATCATAGATACTCAGGAAAACAAATTGAAATCCCTAATTAAAAGTTAACAGGTTTAGGGCAAGATTATTACTTTATTAATATAAACTGTATATTCATGGTACTCAGGAAAAAACTGTGCCGTCTGTAATCATATAATAAGCCCCCTTCAATGCTCTCTACCACCTTGAGTTAGCAGTGGGATATCAGTGAGAAAAACCTATCAAATAAACCGATGTGGAATCGTTTAGGTTGTTTCCCTTTATATGTATTTCATCCATTTTACTTGTAATGGGCTTTATGAATTAAAATGTAAGTTGAAGTTATTTTTACATCTATATAGATATGAACGTATCTTTGAATTGCTAAATATTGCTTTCTGTAGACCGATGCTGAGTCAACATACCCTGTTATTAAGTAGCATCATGCGATACTGAATAATTGTTGATGACATAGTTTGTGTATCAAAGGTTGCCTCCCTTGAATTAGAAACTGACACTACATAGCAGGGCAGCAAGTATAAGCCGCAGATTGGTGTATCCAAATTATAACTTACCTATTTGCGCAGAGAAATAACTATTTTTTGGTCTTATCGCATTTGCTGGAAATAATCCAACTTGATTTGGTTGGATTCCTGGTATCCTGGACCCACTCGGGAAGATAATTTGATCATATGATTGCAGACTGTTCTGCAGCTTAAAATCCATCTATTCTTGATAATAGTATAGCATGGTTGCTTTGCATGACTGACTAGTTAGTTCGTGTTTGTGGCAGGTCTACGACACGGGCCCATCCTTATGTAAAAATGTTTCGTTAGCATTATGTAATGATCAAGGTTAGCCGTTTAAATGCAGTTAATTAATTGAAAGTGAATCTTGTCAAGCAAATAAGCAAGATAAATTCTTCTGTATGTATAATTCTAATGGTTTCGTAGCAGCCGCCAAAAGAGTCTTGACGAGTTGTGGGAACGTGTATTTGTGTAGATTGAGAAGCACCCGAGACGCCCTAAAATTATTATTGTCCCAATTATTAGTTATTAGCCGAGCATTAGAATCCATTTTGGTAGCATAATTATCTCTAGATAAAGATCAGTATCAATCTCTTTTTGTAATTAACAAGCTTTTGGTCTGTGCAATTCCTAGACAC